CACACACACACACACACACACACACACACACACACACACACACACACACACACACACTACACAAGCTACACATTGACGTATCTTGTTCCATTGCACTGGAGACGACTTTCGAACAAAAATGTGTAGTCTGATGTGCCGTTGTCCGTACATACATGGGACAGTTCAACTTATGTCTCAGGGTGACAGACCTTTGCGATTTGAAACGTCTAAGTGACACTTTTTGTATTATACACATTAGGGCATGGATAAGAAAACACTGTGAGGAAACCTACACAGATCTGCAAAGCAATGTAATGATGTTTGTGAAGTTCCAATCGATATTGGACCCACGCGGGAACTCCAAACCAAACAAAATTGTGAGAGGATTCCTATGCCCAGCAGTGGGACTATAATATTGTTTAGACATTTTTTCATAATATCTAGTGACGGGACGAACAGGTCGTGTTCCTGATGGTAAGCTACACGCCTGTTCGTAACAGTTGCAATGCCACTCAGAGCTTTAAGTCGCAAAAGATCTGAGGGGCACTGCCACTGCGCCCGTCACACTGAGACATAAGTTGACAAGTCTCAATGCCTGTAATTTCACCAGCACCTTTACCCTTCAAAACCGGAGCACAGTAATGCTGACATTACTGTTTAGCGGCAGAAATAGGTAAGGTGGCAGTACTTCCTTGGACGAGCTCATTCACATGGAGCTCTACTGCTACTAAAGTCTGCTACTGCTGTTATTTAAGCTAACTATTGTATTAATATTACCGCTTACCACGACCCAGTCACTACGTATCATAAAAAAAAAGATTAACCGAAACCATGATTAAAAAATTCGATGATTAGCAATCTTGATTCATTGTTGTAACGGTAAAAGAACACACACAAAACACCTATTCGCAAACTTTACGTAGACAAGTGAAATCCAAACCGCATAGAACTAGTGTAGTGGATTATGGTTTACACACCTTCTTTTATATCACTTTTAAATATCAACTCTGATTTGCGCTGAAATCACTAATTCGGAAACTAAAATAGTACCGCGCCAATAACTGACCTGTGTATACGTGTCCGTATATTCCAAGAATATTCTGTATTTATTGTAATAAAGATAACATCCCTAACAATGGGGGCTGTTGCATTCGATGGTATAGGTGAAACAAAACATCTAATCACAAAACAAACGGAATCACATTTCATTGGTAATTATATATTAAATATCTAATTTTGCAATTTCCGTCCATTATAGCATCGCTGAAATTAAACTGGGTAATTTGAAGTGAAACAATGGACGACACCCGTCAATTCCGATTCAGGCTGGCCAATCGGAGCACAGTTGTCACCGTAATGATTTGGCAGTATAATTTTCTAACAAATTGAAAGGCATTTCGTCTCTATACACCGATTTAATGATCTTGGCCCATCGTACGAGTCACAGGCGCGCTATATCTTTTTCTGTAATCTAGTTTTGAATTATTTGTTTAGTCATAAGGTCGTTTATTTTTTTAAGCTGTAAGTACTCCATAAAAAAAACTTTGTTTGTACAATACAGAAGGCACGTGCGTTACCGAGACTGCTTACTCTTTTGTTCTATTGTACTCGAAAGATTAAAAAGATAAAGATGAAACAAGATAAAAGTTGCGAATCGGAGGAAATAATATTTCGACAACTGTAATTCATAACTAAAAGTTAACCTAGTAAATGTATACGAATCAAAAATTTGAGTTTTCTGTACTTTGACAAACGTTGAATATAGATGTAACACAGAAGTTTTCAAATGAAATCTTCTGTCAAAGAAAATTGTAGACACACGCTAGTTGCGATTATAAATTTATAATACACCCGGGTTGTCTTATCAATTTGAAAATCATAATCTAAATAAGACGATTAACTTATTCTAATAATATTATTAATGTTGCTACGTCCATTATATTATGCTTTGTTTTTCACTGACTTCAAAAAAAAGGAGGAGGTTCTTTATTGTACATTTTTTTACTCTGCTATTTGTGATTCCAATCTGGTAATACTTTTTTGTTGGAAAGAGGGTACCTCAGTATTGGTCCCTTTTAAATTTGAAGAAAATATTCCACTTCTAAGGGTGGCAAACTAGGGGATGAATCCGGTTTCGCGCACTTTCCGTTAACCGATTTCCATAAAACTTGCCAAATAGATGAAATTCCAATAAAAAGCCGATAAGCTAAGCTAAGATTTCAATAACATTTTGAGGTCTTTTTTTAAAATAAAAAGTTCTAATTATTATGGTCACATTACTCTACACTCGAGCAAGACTCGTAATTATACCGTACAGTCAAAATGCATCAAGCACGTCTGTACTCTTAAACCCATATCACTGTAATGTCCACAAGTAAGATGGGTTACACTTAAGGGATATGCGCACAATGTGCTAAAGTTAATTCTTTAAAATTGAGACTTAATGCCATACTCATGACTTGAACAGTTTAAAAAATCAATAATAATAATAACAATAACGCACACACTTCATAGCCACACACTAGCCAAACCCTGTGTCACGGATGCCATGGACACACACATAGACAACCACGAATACACCCAACTCAGTAGAGAAATAAATGTTGGCCATACAAATATTTATCCCGGCCCAAGAATCGAACCCGGGACCTCTGCCTTTGGTAACAGTCAGGCCACGACAGCAGTTAAATTTTAATGACAACGAATTAATCACAATCATTTAACTTAACTTCCTCTGTGGACGAACGGTTACCTTGCTGGACTGCCACGCATGGTTCGATTCCCAGGCCGGGAGAAATATGTGTATGGCCTACATTTATTTTTTTCATGAGTTTGGGTATAATTTGTGGTTGTCCTTTGTGTGTGTCCATGACACCCGCGATACTGAGTTTCTCTAGAGCGGAGCTATGAGCGTGTTGCGTTATTATTATAATATAGATACAGCCATCCCACCGATTACCTGATATCAAAATATCAAATTCTCTGTGCTATAAGTACCTACTTTATCTCTTTTATTTCTGTCTTCTGACCAAGCTGGTCTGCCACACAGCGGTCCCGGGTTCGATTCCCGGGAGAAATATTTGTGTCGCCTATATTTATTTCTCTCGTGAGTGTAGTTCGTGGTTATCTATCTATGTGTGTCTATGGTTCGCGATATAGGGTTTCCCTAGGCAGGGCTATGGATGTGTGCAAAAAAAGTCAAATTTCCAAATTGGTCCTTTTAGGAATTGAACCCGGGACCTACTCACCCAGCGCCCACAGTGCAAACCGTTGGGCCACCGTAGTGGTTACTTACATTCTTGCCTCCAACAACTTCATCATATTCAACTCCAGGGACAAAGTGTTCCTCGTGATTGCTTTTATCAGACTTTGTAGTATACAAGGTGTAACCATCGCCTGATTTGACAAGTTTGTACGTTGGTTTATCGGCAATTAGGGCTTGTCTATATTGTTCGTCGGCAACTGTAAAAGGAAGAGTTTAAGTCGTATTCATCGCCGTGGTAGCTTAATGGTTTGACCTACCGCCTCTCAAACAGAGGCTTCGGGTTCGTATGGGAAATAAAAGAAGTTATTGTAAACTGTCAGTGAAAGTCAGTCAAATTAGTAAAAGTCAAAGCACCAAAATTACGGGAATGCCGTCGTTGGGTAATTTTCAGGTTACTTTTCTCAACCTAATTTTGGTGACAATTTTTTTTTTCAAATATTCTAGAATATTATCATGAAGTACGAGTTTGGTAAATCCGCGACTTTGATAAATATTCTATCGATTATCGACTGAATATTAGTCACGCTTAAGTAATAAATATATAGTCTAAAAGTAGTCCTCGGCCTATCATTCATCCAATTTCTGAGCGCAGTTCCACTGAAAATGTCAATTTTTGTAAGTATACATACACAAAATAAGAATAAAGAAGGCAAAAATGCAATTAGTTGTCATTTTAACGTCATAACATTCACAATTCAGTCATTTTTGGGAAAATCCTATCTTCTTTTATAATCTATCGATAAAACTGTAGACAACAACTACTTGACTATTTAAATTTTTTTCGGTTTCATAAAAATTAACATTTATTAAGAATCCTACGTAACGACATAGTTACTCACTTCCAGCGTAAACAGCATTGACAAAGGCATCGTAGTTGTCCTGCCTGTCTAGTTTGAATTCCTTGCCAAAATAAGCCATTTTGCACAGACCCGATTGTTAATCACCGTTTCAAAAACGAAAGTAAAGTGAAACAGGTTTAATAGACGCATTTGTTACTGTTTTATCACTGAAGATAAAGATGGATAATTTGATACCGGTTTATCGCTGAAGCTAACGGCGGATAATCAGCAGATTAGCTTCAGTTTTATTAAATACAAATTTCAAAATCAGTTTTCCTTTATTATTAAAAAGCCTGCCGACATGTCAAATTAATAAAATAGATAGGGTTATGTTTTGCGTTTTTGCTCTCGTTATGATTTCACTGATCTTCGGATACTAAAATTTTATTTTATTTAATTCCACAAATCCCCACTAACGTATACTTAGCACCTACGCAGCGTAATAATTTTGATTGCCTGGATTTTTAAGATCAGTGTCTATTTTCGTTCACATTTTGTTTACTTCTTACAGCCGTGACAATACGACCTGTAAAGGACTCGAAAATAAAGGTCGATTTGTTTGAAAAAACAAATATACGCGAATTAGATCCAAAAAAATAATTTTATTTCCTTAAATTTGTTTCATGTAGTTCATATGATTCTTGTTGATGACTGTCGTGTGACAAAACACATTTAGACGCATGATCACATGTGGCTTTATTATACCGAGGGTACGTAATTATGGTAGTAAGTACTTTTAGGTCGATGTTAATAAGAACACATAAAGTTTAGCATTAAAATATACTATGTTTACTCTTTTTCATTTAAATAAACACTGCAATATTACGATACGGTGACGTTATCATAACGTTCTTTTATATAAACAATCGATCTTGTTAATCTACCTTAAAGGCGGCTTCTCACGGCCCGTGGCCCGCTTCGCGGCCCGCGCTACTCATTTCGCACAAACGCGCCTTGGGAAAAAGGCCATGCGAGCGCGCTCGGGCTCGCCCGTTGCGGTCTGTTCGAATCCGCCGCGGGTCGGTAACTTCAAAGGCGCAGCCTATGCTCTCGGTACAAACCCGAATACGCGCCACCACGCGAGTCGTGTCACCCGCGCGAGCCCGTTCTTACAAATCGGCGCGTTTGACGCGCTCGGGCAACCCTCTTCCTACAGCGCGTTTGGCGTGAGCACGCGCGGCCCGTGGAAATACTGGCCGTGAGAAATCGCCTTAAGGCTGAGTTCTATAAAACGAACCTTATACGAAAAATTTGCTTAGTCGACGTGCAAGTTCGTTTTTAAACCTCAGCTTTAGGTTCTAAGAATAATTCTAAATAGATAAGACAAACATTATTTGAATTAAAATCTGTAGTATTCACATACGGTGAGGGCCAGCTGCCATAACTATAGTTTGAGTTAAACAAAAATCTGTGGTAGTGACTCGTTTAGCTCTTGCAGGTAATCTCGATCTATAATATATATAAATGATTAATGTGTACAGATGTTTAATTACGTAGAGCAACCCCTTGTGTTTCTTGCTCACTCTTCTCAGGGTAATCTGCCTTACGTATGAGCAGTACAATTTAATCAATGTGACAATTTCCAGCGTAATTTACTTATCTATTAAAATAAAGATTATTTAACTTTGATTTTGAGTTAAAAGTTATTAAATCTATCTATCGGCAGGTACCCTGTACAACATGAGCAAATGTGTACAAGTGGACAAGGAACTCTTAGGCTCAACTCACATTGGCGCAGTGTTAAAGCGTTGCGTGGCGTCCACTCTGCGCCAATGCGAGTTGAGTCTAAGGCCTTATTCAGAGTGGCGGCAGGCATGAGTGCGGGAGCGTAAGTCAAAATGTACGTGGACGCTCGTTGCGTTCCCAATGGCCGCGAACACCGCGCGGATAGATATTGACCCTGCCTGCTCGTACCTTTCACAGTGCTTGATCTAGCGTCTAGCGTCTGTTTGCAATTTCGACGTGTGGATTTACCCGCTCGTAGCCGCTTTGGCACTGTGAAAGGGACGAGACGGCAAGACCCGCGCGCCCGCACCCACTGCCGCGCCCGCTCCTGCACTCTGAATGAGCCCTAACGTCAACGGTAAAACTCAAAATTGTGAATCAGTGACTGATAATAACGTATTTTTACCTGTTGTTATCGGTTAAATAGCGCTTGCTCCCAAGATACATAAGGCGTGGCCTTTCGATACAAAACTATGATTAATTCAGGTTTGTATGGAAAATATTACTTGGGTTGGGAACAACTTGAATACAAACTGAATAGTTTTAAGGTCATAGGGAACGGATATATTCCATACTCTTGCCAAATTCAATGTAGAATAACTGTTAACAAACAAAAACATACGATTTTTAGGGTTTTCACCTCAGAATCTTTTACAGTTACCACAATTTCAATATTATTCTATTTTATTAGGCTATTGATAATACTAATCTTGAAGTCGTGTCTGCCTCCGTGGCCGAACGGTTACCATGACTGCCACGCAGAGGTCTCAAGTTCGATTCCCGGGTCGGGAGAAATACTTTGTACGGCCTACATTTATTTCTCTCGTGAGTTTGGGTGTAATTTGTGGTTGTCTATGTGTGTGTCCATGGCACCCGCAACACAGGGTTTCACTAGTGCGGGGTTATATTGTGTATGTGTGTGTGAGTGTGTCTGTGATGATTTTTGTTCAATAGAAGTCTGAAATCACTAGTATGTGATTGAAAACCAACAAAAACATTTTTACTTTGATTTTAGTGATTTTTATTTTGTTTTTATTTGAAGGAAAAGAACTCGTGAGTTCGGGGACATCACACATTTTCCGAGTGTTGTGAACCTTCTTCGACGTGCAGGTTTCATCACGATGTTTTCCTTCACCGAAAACCTCATGGTGAATTTCAAATTAAATTTCGCACATAAGTTTCGAGACACTCAGAGGTGCAAGACTGGATTGGAACCCACGACCTCTGCTTGAAAGGCGGTAGTTCAAACCACCAGGCTACCACGGCACGGCTACCAGATGAGATATATAGATAGTAAATAAATAGAATGTATTCTTTTCGCTAGTATGAATTCCCATCAATGAATTGCGGTGCACTGATAAACGCCGTCTTTACATTAATACCTAAGAATTCTTTTTGTTTTTTAAAAAAATATCAAGTCCCGTCACTTGTCGTGCCAACAAGTCGTGCGCTTGGTGGTAAGCTACACGCCTGTCCATAACAGTTGCAGTGCCACTCAGCTCTTTAAATCGCAAAGATCTGAGCCGCTCAGTCACTGTGCCTCTATTTAAATAATAATAATAATAAAGTGTACAGACTATAAATATCTCAACGAAATAGTTGCGAACAAGACTTTATTTTGGTTTCATAATTACATTTTTTTTCAAAACAAAAAACTTGAAAAACCTACGTACGTTATACATTTCCGATTAAAGTACCGTTATGAAAGAGCAATAGCAGAAACGGACACAGATGGGAAAAGTGTGCGGAAGCAGAAGTAGAGGTCTTTTGCATCATTAATTTTCTACTTAGGCTTTTTTTATAAAACTATCAAGTGACGGGACGAACAAGTCGTGCGCCTGATGGTAAGCTGCACACCTGTCTATAACAATTGCAGTGCCACTCAGAGCTTTAAATCGCAAGGATCTGAGGGGCACTGATTAGTCCCATGTACGTGTAATTTCACCAGCACTCTTACCCTTCAAAATCGGAACACAGCAGTACTATCCTGGATGAACTCTTTCACAAGGAACTCTACTGCTACTAAAGCCGGAAAGACAACACAAATGGTGCCAGGCACTACACCTTCCCCAGTTAGCCAGTAAAGCTGCTGTGGCCATAGGTTGTATATAAACAGAGAAACCTACCATCAATTAAAACTGCTATACATATTGTAACTACAAAGATCGAACACAGAGAAAAATTTCTTCGATTTGTAGGGTTATCACGACAGGGCGCGACTTGCACGAGAGCGACATATAGTACGATATACTGCATTCGTATAGAAATCTCGCGCTTTATAGCTACCATGCTAGCCCTACTGACACAACTTGAACCCGCGTCTGTAACAGGGCCACGGCAAAAAAGCCAACAGAACTAAAAATAAAGATCTGTCTACCGACTCAATCTGTGGCTCTGTTGATAAAACCCCTGTGATAAAACCCTTGATTGGTATTACAGACGCGAGTTTGACTCCTGTCATAGCGAAGCAATGTTTCATTGTGTTCGATCTTTGTATATTATGACTAGTGGAGTAATTTTACAAAAAATAAATTTACAAAAATCAATATTAAGTACTAATGTAGGTATATTATATGTTAAACCTTAAATATCACATTATTCATTTATAATTTAATTGCATTAAAATAAAGACTATTTCATTTCAGTATTTCGTAGACTCGAACGCATTTGCCGTCCCAGCCTTCAGAAGTAGTGGTCTGAAAAGAAAAGAACATAAATATTGTTACTACCAATATTAATGTTGCAATTGCCACGTTGTAATTGTATAAATAAACCATAATTATAATATAGTGTACAAATGGAAATAAATAAAAATTACATGCATTGTTGTCGTTTGGATTAAATATCTATTTTGATATTTTTCGCTTTTTAGTGTAGTGACATTTTGTGTTTTTGAATTTAGTTGAACTTCTTTTAAAAAAAAGTTTGTTTTGGAAGTGGGTTGTTTGGTGTCGGGAGTTTTTTAAACTTTAATTTAAGTTATATTGAAGGTCCGTCCAAATTGAGGTTGTTCATTTTTTCATTCATAAATTTAGTTTGTCGATGTTGATAGAGTCGGTATCTACCTAACAATATTCCTACCGTAAAAGGTGTGTTATCTTTTACTAAATATACTGAGTACTTAATAGTGTTATTCTGTTACTTACCACAGTTAATGTGTCATGTGTAAATTTTCGTACATGAGTGGACTTTCTGCCATTATCTTCAACCTGCGTATGAATCAAAGTGTTGCCTTCAAAAACTACCAGTGCTTTCACCTGAAAACCAAAACCACGAAGAGTTTTATAGACTGTGATATATTTATGTTGTATATTCTATTCTATTATAAACGGACTACTTAAAAATTTGAGTTGCCAAATTGTCAATATACACTACATTCATACTATACGCAGTACTACCCAGGTTCTCATTTATGCGAGCAAGCGAACGTCCGAGTGCGATACGTCCCTTTCCACACGATATCTAGCGTCGTAATGGTAGGAACGGACGGACCACAGCGCACCTTTATTTTCTATACACCACACTGTATTTGGGTGTATGTGCTCAGTGAGCATAATATACTGATTTGTCACTCTATGGCAACTCACAAAAATAAAAAGTTAATTTGCAGAGTTGTAGCCATGTAAGGATCAGCACTCAGGTGACTTACAGGCACTCCTATTACATTCCATTTTCTCGCGTTAGAGAAAATAATACTACATACAGTAATACATTAGTTTTTCTTTATTTAATTTACGTTTGATCGCAATCATGCGTGATATTAAACGACAATGTGTCGAAGCGAAGAAAGTTCCTTCTTTTTAAGTTTTCACCAATTTATTTGAGTAGGCAACATTCATTCATTCTACATTTGCATACCCAAATTTTGCATAGAATAAAATTTCGTAAGAAATGAAACGATTACCAACATTTCGGGCCTTTTACGTGGCCCATGGTCACGGTTGATTGACCGTCAACTGACTGACAGTCAACCGTGACTATGGGACTTGTAACAAACAAACCAACGTTTCGGGCCCTTTACAGGGCCCATGGTCACGTGGTAAGTATTTTTTAAATCCACATACTTATTAACTAAACTAACTGCTAACTCACATATTCAAGTCGAACTTTTGCTCTACATGTGTTCAACCAGTCGGCGATCCCTAATCATGAGATTCCGCGGCGGTGACTCGACGGAAACTACCTACTTTTCACACAATTTAGTTTTTAGTTTAAGTCACGTTATACTGTGATTGTTTTTATTTATCTTTTTAAACTGATGGCCTTTTAGACAATTGTCAATTAATAAAAAGCAAAGCCATATTGATATTGATACCTACTCGTGCCTAAGAAGTATGAAAGTAAAAATATACCTTAACACCATCCGCTCTCTCTTCAATGAACTCCTCCCCTGGCGTGAAGGTGAAGTCCACGGCCCTGAAGGTGGTAAACATTGTGAAGGTATAGGAGCCATCATCGTTTTTGTACAAGCACGCTGTTGGTGTCACCGATATCGCTGCTTTTCGTGATAAATAGCCTACCTCTGGAATTTAAATTTGTATTTGTTACTAAACTAATTCATTATAATTAAATTTCTATTGAATTGATATTCAATTATTTTTGTGAAATTACTCCACTAGTTTGTTATAATTATTAATATAAAGAAACGCTTAGAAAAAAATCCTACGATCCGGCCGGATTCGAACCGACGTCTTCTAGCAAACCGGTACCAGATGCTATGCTAACTAAGCCACGGAACGAACCAGTGGTCCTCACGAATCTTTCTATGTGCTTGTTGTCGAATATTTGTATTTTGGTTTTCAATCACTTTTTTAGCCGTAGCGCCATCTATGAGAAATCTATGAATATTTCGTCGTTGGCTATGGCCGACCGCGCGGCCGCCGCGAGTTTCAGAGTGGTAAGGTTCCATATGTACTCGTACATTACAAAAATTCCCGTGCTTGGAACGCTTCCGCGGCCGCCTCTGTGTGGCCAGAGCATAAAACGCTATCACTATTTGTGTTTTGTTTGGAACATGCAGTTGCTGTGAATGTTCTTGTCGATTTAAGTGTAGATTTATGTCGTTGTATGCAATGAATTATTTAAATCCCGCCCTAAGCACTTACTAAAATTCCTCTTTGTATTGCTGTATTTCCATGTACCTATTGGTATTTCTGAATATCTATAATTGGGTTTCAGATGTTATTATTATTATTTAAACTCAATTTATATTGCGGAATCTAAAGGAAGGTAATTTTTGTAACGAAATTGTACGAGCGAAATGAACTTAATGCCAATTGTTTAACGTACAAACTGGATACGATACGGTAGCTTCAGGTATTGCCGAGACTGCGCTAGATTATTCTAGATATTATTTTGATGACAAGGACATAAAATAATAATTAACTTAACTACGACAAAATAATGGCATGCATAGATTATTAAGAATTAAAATTAAGATTTAACATTTTTGTAATTAAAAGTTAGTACTTATATACTGTTAAATTAATTTAATTAAGCAATTTGTTTACTATAAAATTGTACGTACGTGTAAAAAACAATACGTACTAACACAACAAAGTTATTATTTTTATATTTTTAATATATATCTGTCCAGCTAAGCCGAAAAGGGCTATCTTAATCGGAGTGAGCATTGAGAAAATCGACTTTTTGTAAACTGTATTTTCGCATCTTCAAAGATAAATCTTTTTGAAGATGTTAATAGTAGATTGTACAACAAGTGCATAAAGACGATTTTATTTTAGGCACTAGAGCATAAAATCCTATTTTATGCAGCCTACACCCAGCATTAATACGAACTTTAAGAGCATGAGAAGTGAAAAATTGATTTATACGTATTTTTGTATGTATACACGGTGGAACGGAACGACCGACAAAGCCGAAAATATCACGTTAAGAACCCTACATACATGAGTTTTATTTACTTTAAATGTAAAATCAGAGCAGTTGGAAAATGTTCGTCCAGATTTAAACCTTTCGCGGTGCAACAACCCTACGCCAATCAATCGTGTTAGTACATCTACTGCCCCACAGGCGGCGTTCGTATCATTGGCACTCGCAGAAGAAATAAGCGTACTCACTTGAATAGGTAATTAAAAAACATTGAACTTACTTTAAATTAAAAGGATGTTCGATTTGTCCACGTCCCCTTTGCTCTTGCAGACATTCAGACATTTCAGACACATTCCTGGGTGTGCCGGTCACACGCCGATGTGGTTTTCCACACAAACACACTAATACACTTTACTTGCTTAACACAAACACTACTTATAAACAGCACTATTCCAATAAGTTGCTGTCACAAACCAAAAATTAATAAGTAAACGGTGTTTTGTGTTGTAAACACGAGAAAAACATGAGACCACGAGTCACCAAACAACCAGGCATTTTGAACTAATTTATGAATGAAAAAGTGTTACCAATTAGACTAAAGCAAATATCACTAAACAGAATGGTCACAGTACAGGCAAAAGACTCCTGAATACTAAGATAAAAATAATATTAAATTTTAAACGATTAAACCTAATTAAATATGCACCAATAAATACCAAATTTTTTTTTGTCGCTAGAAATAAAAGACGCTTTTGATGTCAAATCGTCACATAAAGGGACAAAGTTGCTTACTTGGCAACTCTGCATAGAGATGCGCGCGGCGGCGGCGGCGCCGGCGTACGCATCAGATATCATTGATTACTAATATCTAAATGTTAATTTTAAAAAGACAATTATGATAAAGAAATAGGTTTCGCAATAATCGTCTTGTCTGGTATAAGTACCATGAGCAATTCAAAAGTAAAAGTAAGGTAACTGCAGGTCGTTTAATAAATTGTAATAAATAATCAAATTTAGCAATGTGGTAATCGATACTCAAAAATAAGAAAACGAACCGTGGAGGTGGTCTGCAGACCTCCAAGAACCGATTTATTTATTTTTACATTACATTTATTAAAATTTCAACTACTCATCTCAAGTTAACAAAAATTTTCGTTTTAAATGTTGATCTCATTAAAATGAACTCTTCGTTTTAAAGTTAGTAAATTCTTGTATTGTAAATTAAAACTATTTCCAAATGCATTGAAAAATAGACTAGTACAAAAAAAACGATTTCCCAATTATGCTGCCAAAAACAGATAACAGGTATCAAATGTGCATCTCTAAGCGGTTATAGGCGACGTGAATGAGTGCCTCAATTTACTATTTTACGTTAGGGTCGGATTAAGGGTTACGAGACTATTGTAATTTGAGTATTTGACGCATGTTATAGAACGTGTTTACTTAATTTAGTTATGTTTATTTAAGTTAGTCTTATCTTACGACGCAGAAAACATGGTTGAACTCCTGTCAGAATCATTTAGAAAACTTTACTTTTCTTAAGTTGTTGTAGGTAGTTTATAACAACGCTTAGTTTAGAAACAACATGTCTCCCGAAGATTCTATGAGCGGTGCATTTTTTCGGTAAATGTAAATATTGGGTCGTCAAACACGGAATTTAAGGGTGTTAATTACTCTCAAAATAATACAATAAAATACCCGCATAATTAATCATGATTCACATGATGACCGATCAAACAAAGTGATTGATCAAAGAAAGCGACTGATGGGGTGCTGATGAACGACGGAGGTCAGCGACCTATTAAATTACAAAGTTTTTTGCCCTGAGTACCTCCCGGTAGTTGCCTCCAAACAGCTGTGTTTTATGATGTAGGGTTGACAATACAGACTTTTCAAGCAAATCTTTATCATTGAATAACTTGGAAACTATTACACTTAGAGCAAAAAGACTTTCAGTACAATTAAGTACATATTTAAGACTCTTCACGGTTTTCGGCTTTGTCGGTCGTTCTGTTCCACCCGGTATAACGGTGCACATAGCATTTACAGTAAAAGGGTTATTAAATAAAATTATATAAACTTCAATGATTTTTTTTATGATACCTCACTAGGTATAAACACCCTGCTAAATAAATTTACAAGTCCTATGTTATTTTTCGAAACTGGAACGCAGCAATGTTCACATTACTACTTGGAGCCATAAACAGGTAAGGTAATATGACCATGAAATACGTTTTTTATATGTTATATTTTATATAGATACAAATCTGAGGGCATATGTTTGTTGTACGCCTGGCGGTACGCGACACACCTATCCATAGCAGTTCTGCCCTCCCATAACTGTAACGAGATCTACAACCCCTCTAATCGGTTTTTTATAAGTAAGTACCTTATTTAGTTTCAATATTGTTAAGCTAAATCAATGTCAACCGTGGCCATGGGACCTGTAAACGTCGGTTTATTTGAAAAAACAAATATTTAAATCCGGAAAAATAGTTTTATTTCCTATAAATCAAAGTACCTAATTGAGAATTTTTTTAAGTGAAAATATTTTGACATAATTATTAATACAAAGATCGAACACTCAGAAAAAATTCCTTCGATCCGACCGGATTCGAACCGATGCACTATGGAAAATCGAGGTCTGTTTCAGATCAAAAAACTTTCTTATTTGTTAAGATAGACTATTGAATTTTTGCACAAGCATAGAGTATTAAATACTGCTTTAGTTAAAGTTCAGATGCTATACTTTTATAAGAGTATGTTTATTTTTGAAAAAAAATTAAAAAATATATTTCAGAAATAGCTTTTATTTGATTTCCTTAAGGACAACGCTACTTATATTATTAATAAAAATGTATTATTACATCAGTTTTTTTTAAAACAATCATGTTTAAGCTCTTATCTATTTAATTAAGAAATTAAAAGTTATAAGATTACAAACACGTATAGTAAAAAAAGTTACAAAATACTAATTTAAAAGTAAAATAATGTTAGAAATGTATGTATGTCAATGTCTATATTATGTTTTATTATACTTGTTGAACTTCAGGATCCAAAATGAGTTCATTCACTTTTAAAAGATCCAGGGTATCTTCATCAAGTGCCTTCACACTTTTGCTATATGTTTTTCTAAGACTGGAAATGTACGGATCTGATGTGTAGAGAAGAGTATGAAATACATCCTCATTTGTAGCTGATCGAGAGCACTTCCTGGCATGATGTAGGGGAAACTTTTTATAATCCTTATTACGGGATTCTTGTGCATCTTCGGAAAGTTGACCAATAGGAATTACACCAAAATGCTTAATGACACTTTCACCATGAATCAAAATTTTGTGTACTAAAGATGGCATGTAGTACCATTCATAATTACTTACATAAATTCTGGCAGTTTCCATGGCATATTTGCCAAATTTTTCTGCATTTATCATTACGCCTGATGAAAGAGCTTGTAAAATAATTTACAACCTTTTGATCAAATTCACATCCACTCCGGTGATTTCAGAAGAACAATTTGCGTTGTAAAAACTTCCACTTCCACAAAAACCACTTCCTTGTCGTGGTTTGTCGATGATCAATCCTAGCTCCTCCCGAAAAAGTTTTTGTACTAGGGTTTTCTTGCTTTTGTCTTTTCTTTTCTTCACTTGTGGCTGACCATGTCCGAAAAGAAAGATTATATGAGATATGTAATACCATTTCCATACAACGAATCCAGGCATGCAATGTGGAAAGTCCGTATTGATATGCATTTTCGTTTTCTGGCCTACTAGTGACTTTAGTCAGATCATTCATTTGCCGTGGAGTAGCTCCACAGATTGTACACGTGGATCCAGATGGTATATCTGTTAATACTTGAGCTACTTTACCATCTATCATAGTCAGAAAGAGTTCGTGCTTCCCATTCACTCCTTCACCTTCTTTATTAATTAATGATGGCCGCAAGGAAATTATTTGGTTCTTTATTTCATCAACAACAGCTTTAGTTTTTTCAGGAGTTTCTTTACAAAATTCTATCGATATAGGCCGACAAAAACGGATTGACGAAGGCACTGGATTTTGCCAGACAATGTCGCCAGTAAGCTCATTGACTAATTTAATAGGCACTAACGACGTAATAAACAAATTTGCATCAGAAACAAGTTCAGACTCCTCTGGAAGTTTTTGTTCGTACTGACTTTGACCAGATGAACCATCACATCCCCATTTACTGTATAAAACTAAATGACACAATCCAATCTTATACACCGAATCTATGGCCAAAATCCTAGCTACAGTGTGGTCCAATAAATCTTGAAGGTTTAGTACTTTTGCATGTGTATTTGTAATTTCTATTGCTGTATATGGTGGATAACATGTCTGTGTGATTTCTTGTATTTTACAAAATGGTGGGAATAGAACACAGTCTCGTTCGTTTGTTAAATTCCTTAAGTATATATATTGTACTTTCGTTAAATCTAAGTCAATGAAATAACTCAATGCTTCTTGATCCATTAGCATTTTGCTCTCACTTGCGTTTTCTATGAGATTCAAATATAGAGACTTTGTATCATCACGGTCAGCAAGCCTTAGTTTTTTCACGAGTTTTGCTTCTATTTCTTCTCCTATTGAACGCAAGCCCTGAACATAGGCATTGCAAATGTGTTCAAAGCCATATTCACTAAATAGCGCGGTATTTTTTCGTTTTTTGGTTGATTCTGTTGAGTCTCCATAAGAGACACAGGGTCTTCCGCGTTTCCCAGAAGAAGTAGATGGCGTGATGTCAGGTGTTACTACTTCAATGCTCGGTAAGGTTACCAAATATTCAGAATCCAACCAATTTTCGTTCTTTTTTAGAAACGAATCCTTTTTCCTGGACGCTTCTGCCCATCGTTTATTAAAGGAAGATTCCTTTGAACATCACTGATAATAAAACACACGTTGTCTTCAGAAACATGATAGTTTTCTTTTAAAACTGTTGATAGGGTTTCAAGTTTTTTTCCTCCTTCAATGTATGAGAGTAATAATTCACGCTTGGAACACTTGAAAGAATTTGACATTTTGAAATTCAGTGATGATACGTAACAATCAAACGTCTGTTTAGTTTTATTATCAATTTGTAATAGCTTTATTAAATTAATTCACTCTTCTTATATAATTTCATAAATAAGGGTAGTGTGCATTTTGTTGATTAAAGTAGTACCACAAAATAAGTGCAAAATGTAGACAAAACGCCCTGTTATTAATAAATACCTATAATTTAGTGAAATATACCGCAAACTAATCAATTCAATAGTACAACATAAGAAACCACAATAGATAGCGGTTTTCCGTTTCTTGACTTATATCGTAGTTTTCGCGATAACTTCTAAAACCGCACGTATTCGCAGCTGATTTTTATAAATGTTATTTATGAATATCTGAGCTATAAAACAAAACCAAATGTAAAGCACCGGGAGACATCGGTAACTGTCAAAAGTCTCGATGAATTTCAAATACGTACCTTTTTTCCCCCTCACTTTTTGTATATTTTTTTTATAGAAAAATAATCAAAACACTATAATTGCTTTAAAATCTATATACAATGGGCTTTTTAGAAATGCATAACACTTTATATATATTCGCACAAGTTTTTGAAAGAAATGAAATTTAAAGTATTGAAGCGAACAGACCTGAAATAGACATTCTTACGAATTACAATTTCTCACATTAAAAAAATCTATTCCAAATGCAATTCACGCAAAATTACTACATTATATTAAAGTACCACTCTAATACAATTTAAAAAAAAATTAAAGTGCGTCTAAAAAAAAATGAATATTAATTTTTAGTTATAATTATTAATACAAAAACCTTTGTTATAATAATTATAACAAACTAGTGGAGTAATTTCACAAAAATAATTGAATATCAATTCAATAAAATTTTAAAATATTTTGTCAGCTACCAAAAGGGAAATGCATTGGTTATGACAAGGACGGCAGAGTTCCAGTGCAACTCAGAGCTTTAAATCACAAAGATCCGAGGGGCACTCCTACTGCGCCCGTTACCTTGAGACATAGTTCCTTGTTCCTGTAATTTCACCCTTACCCTTCAAAACCGGAACGCAGTGTAAGGTGGCAGTATTTCCCTGGACGGACTCTTTCACAAGAGGTACTGTTGCTACTAATATTTGCTTGGGCCTATAGCTTATAATTATATGTATTTAAATACATTTTAATGTACATTGGGCGTTTGCGTTTTCCCATTGTAGTTCGCTGGGTCTTAGAATGTTATTTTGGTTTTGGATAAATACGTATTACGGACTCATTAATTCTTCAAAACCCTCCGACTCTTTTAATATATATTTCTTACCAAAAAATTTATCCATTTTTTTATGCAATTATTTAATCAAAATGACACCTTTCTCTATAACAATGATTTTACAACTAACATTTCAAATAACAATAGGTTGGTAATTAATCACTCGCGAATATACATTGGTTAGTTACATGAATTAATGAATAATAGTTTAATTGACTTACCGATATGTTTTAAATAATTTTCGAAATTGTCCGATGTTTTTAGTCTATACTTTTTTCCCACGTAATTATCCATTGCTTTTGTTTTTGTAAATTAAATTCTTTCTTTCACAAGCACTTGCGCGACGCGTCAACAACTCAAGGCGGTTTGTTTGGTAATAAGACCGGTCATCTCGTATGTTCGGTATTATTTTGCCGAGACGTGACTCTATAATCGGTACCTTAGACGATACATTCTCAAAGGACCAAGACCCTGAACCCAATTGACTTGTAATTGGCGGAAATTTGGCAACTTCAAATGACGCGTAATTAAATTTGTACCTAATCGTTGATGTATAAGTGATATTTCTTAAATAGAAACTGTTACCATAGTATTGAAATTTAGCATTGTTACTGCATTAGAGGTGGGATACTTTAGTATTAGATGTTAGAGTGGATTTATTATGTATCTTTGACACGCATTCTAGTTTTGGTACCGTTAACGTCCTAGAGCCACACAGTGTCTCTAACGCACGTATTTTCATCCAACAATTTTAAAAAATGTTAAAAAATGTTTTAAAATTTGAAGGTTTCAAAATGCTCACAGTAAAGACAACGATTTCTCGTGAAAAATTGTCAGAAATTCAAATTATTGAAGAAAAATTCAAGTCTAATATCTGGCGGTATGGTCTATTCCATACTAGTAGCAGTAGAGCTCCTTGTGAAAGAGCTCGTCCAGGGAAGTACTGCCACCTTACCTATTTCTGCCGCCAAGCAGTAATGGTCACATTACTGTGTTCCGGTTGTGAAGGGTAAGGGTGCTGGTGAAATTACAGGCACATGAGACTTGTCAACTTATGTCTCAGGGTGACGGGCGCAGTGGCAGTGCCCCCAAGATCTTTGTAATTTAAAGCTCTTGGTGGCACTGCAACTGTTATGGGCAGGCGTGTAGCTTACCATCAGGCACACGACTTGTTCGTCCCGTTACTTAATGTCATAAAAAAAAAAAACAAAAAAAAATACGAAAGACGGCAAATTTTACTATTAAACATTTTAAACAAAAAATTACCATAACAATTACGGACGCCATGTTGCTAGTAGCCATGATGGGTTTAGGGGAAACTGTGTCGGACCCGATTTTTTTTTTAATGTGTGCGCATTTGACCTCCATCTCACCTGATAGAAAGTGAAAAACATTTGCATTTTCTAAAAAATAGGTAAGTATATATATTTAGTTACACTGAATGTCCAAAAATTCTATAATCAGTTACTTGGTCTGTCCTTTTTATGTTTACTTATTTATGACTACTTGTTTACTTATGATTATGACTGGTTATATTCAAGTATTCGTTTGGGAACTAGAGTTACTGCAATAATTACAGAACGCGCAAAAACCGGTTGCGTGAATGTATTTACACATAGACGTAACGATTCTGTGCTTTAAGTATGTATTATAGTGTGTCAAAAATTAATAAGTTATGCAGATTCATAAGAATATATTAATTACCTAACAAATTATCGATAAATTAATCAAATAAGTTTAGGATTGATTACCATGATGGAAATAGTCAATGGCGTCAGTAAACAATAAAATTATCCGCATCGTACTTGCTTGTTGTTCTCATAGCTTATTTTCCTTTTTTTTCGAAACTTCGTGGTTACATAACCATGGACAAACTTAAAGACAACGATTTCTCGCGAAAAATTATGCGAGAATAAAATTAATGAAGAAAAGTTTAAGTCTAACAAGTGCGAAAAATTTTACCATTCAATGTTTTAAAAAAAGAATTACCAAAATCGTTACGGGTACCGTGAATCTCGGAGGCGTGATGCGTTAAGGGGAAACGGTGTCAAACCCGATTTTCGTAAAAAACATAATATATTTGCTTTTACTCAAAAATAGGTATGTATAGTTACACTGAATTTACAAAAATTCTATAATCAGTTACTTGTTCTACCCTTTTTATGTTTACTTATTTATGACTACTTTCTGATGACTGGTTATATTCAAGTATTCGTTTACGAACTAGAGTTACTGCAATCATTACAGAATGCATATGAACCGGTTGTGTGATATCATTAAAGTTTAATATATAATGCTTTGCCTGCAGCTATCGCAGACTTACCTATAAAAATATAAAAGTTATTTCATTTGTTATGTGATCTGTTTATACGACATCAAAGATTTTTTTTAAATGCAAAAAAAAAATGACATTTTGTTTTTATTTGTGCTGTTCATACTTCTTTGATATTGTTTATTTTATTATTACAGCACCCACTGAGGGGCGGTAGGGACCACTTTGGGAAACAATGATGTATATGATTGCTTTCGAAGATTCCTAATGTTTCTTATTGGACATCCAATTTTTTTTTAATTATCAAGCGACGGGGCGAACAACGTGCACGACGCGCCTTGTGCTAAGCTCCACGGCTTGTGCTAAGCAGAGGTCGTGGATTCCAATCCGGGCTTGCACTTCTGAGTTTCTCGGAATTTATGTACGAAATTTAATTTAAAATTTAATTGAAACAAACATTTAAAAAACCCTGCACGTCGAAGAAGGTTCACAACCCTCGGAAAACGTGTGAAGTCCCTTACCAGCATTGACTCAGCGTGGTTTAAACGCTCCTGAGGTGAGATCCGTGCCTAGCAGTGAGACGTACAAAAGGGTTGATAACGATGATGACAAGAAAAAATATATTACAATTTCGTGTCTGAACCAACTTTTAAATCACGTTAATTAAAAGTTACAGTCTTATCATAGAAAACACAAGTATTTCAACGATTATAATGAATTATAACTGACAGCGCTAAACCTGTTTAAAGGCCTCTGTAGAAGTTGTTTTCTTAAAGGTAAAAATTTTCCTTAATTCATTCATGGAATGTAATAATATTCTAAGACTTATTCAAGTTATAATCTTTTTTAACGTGCTTGTTTACTTTGCTATAATTGATTATAATGAGATTCATATTTTTTTATTAAAGTTACGAAATATACACAACATTCATGGTCTCTCAATATTACACATTACATATTGTGACGATGTTGATCTCCTTGATCCCACCTTTTTATCATCCTCTTTTCCTTCCCACTTTCCCATTCATGTTCCTGGCCACTTATTTTTTAAATATTGAATAATTCTCGAATTTCCTTTTCTGTTCACTTCGATCTGTCGTCACTCCGATCAAAATTCTTGAAACGCGAGGACGTACCCATAAATCACAAATCACCTTCCTTTATTGTTAAATATCACGTCAATTACTTTTAAAATTAGATAGTTATATAGGCCCTTTTAGGGTATTGTATCTTTAAAGCGTATTGCACAGTTCACGTACCTGGGTCATATTGCGACAGAAGACCTCAAGGATGAGGAAGATATAGAGAGGGAGCGCAGTTCACCGTAGGTTCGAGGCAGGGCACTGTTGGCTCATAGATTCACGCGGCGTACGACTGGATTAAAGCTAACGCTCTTCAAAGCATACAGCAAGAGCTTCTACACGTGTGCTCTATGGACCAACTTTACACTGGGATCGTACGGTGCCTTGCGAGTGCCTTATTGAGGCTCCCCCATTTATACAGTGCATGTGTAATGTTCGCAGATACTGCTGGGACAATTTCTATGCTATCATGTGTAAAATGTCCACACCAATAGTACGAAGAGTGAGGGGTAGCAGCAACCAGATCCTGAAGATGATAGCAGACAAGATGGATGCAGCACTGTTCTGGAGGTTCACTGAGTTACATGTTTTACGTGTGAATCAGTGATCCGCGGGGGGTTGTCTTCATCCTTGTTTGTGTTAATATAATAATAAGTAATTTGTCAGCCTATAAAGTGACTGTACCGTACTAATTCTAATACATTCATAGTTATTAGGTGTGTTATGTTACTAACTTGTATGGACTATATTGTCTGAAAATAAATTATTTTTATTTTATTTTATTTAATATTGTTGTGTACTGTGTTTGTTATTTAGTTTCATAATAAGTGTACCTTTTTCATATATTATTTTTATATGTTACTGCCTTCCTTTTCCTCTTTTATCATCTCTACAATCAATCTTGTCTTCTGCATTCTCATTTCTCTAAGACTAGGCTACTAGTTCATCTACTAAGTATACTTTTACCGATGTACCACACTGTACACTTGCTGCGTGGTAGAAGGTAGAGCAATAGAGCTCCTTGTGAAAGGGTTCGTCCAAGGAAGTACTACCACCTTACCTGTTTCTACAGCCATATTAGCATTACCACTGCAACTGTTATGGATAGGATTGTCGTTTATCACCAGGCGCACGAATGTTCGTCCCATCACTTGGTATGATAAAAAAAACCTACAGTAAAGATTTTTAAAGTCTTTAATATTTCTTGCATTTTTTTTAATGAAAAACATGATGATACAAAAAAAATCTGGTCAGGGGATCTTCCGGCGTCGGAGGTGTCCTTAATCATGCCGCGGTATCCCTAGGCATGCCGCAGTGTCGCGACATGGTGCTCGCGCCTGACTTCTCTTCAGCTCTCTACTCCCCTCGCATTGCATACCCATACAGTCGCACTCGGCGTCCCAAAAGCGTCCTAAAGGAGGCCAAAGCAAGGCTGTTGAAACATTACGAGGGCGGCCGGTTCTGCATCCCTGACCATGTGCCGCAGCTTTGTTTTTGTAGTCGTAGTAGTAGTGACCCTTAGCATAGAAATTTCAACTATAAGTTCATAAACCTTAAGGCATATTACCTTTCGTCACCTAAAAATCCTCTGCGGAGCCGTCTCGTCCATGGGCGCTGGGCCTCATGCAGATTATCTTGGGCAATGATATGCTTGTTGATCTAATACATAAACGAGATCGTATTATATAGCGCGAGAGTAAGATCATAGCAGCAATAGAGCTCCTTGTGAAAGACTTCGTCAAGGAAAGTACCTGCCACCAAGCAGTAGGTAATGTGAGCATTAATACGTTTCTAGTTTTTTGAAGTTGTTTGAAGGTGACTTGTCAACTTTATGTCTCTGGGTGGTCGGCAGTGGCAGTGCCTCTCAGATCTTTGCAACTAAACTCTGAGTGGCACAGCAACTGTTATGAGAAGGCGGGTTACAACAAACATAAGCAAAAATTTTTTAAACTATTTTAAACATTATATAAATGACGTAACGCACAGCAAAGAATTTTACTGTTACTGTATCTCAAGGTGTGTTCAAATTATTTTTAGCTTGTATAGCTTTCTTATAATCACCAATCTCTCTCACAGCAAATGCATTCTAGAGAAATGATTAATGATGTTCCTATCCATTTTTACCTATGTGTACTTTGTAGACGGTGTTTCAAAATATACTTTGAATGCCATTACTAGATACTTGCGCTTCGCTTTTTAGTAGCAGTAGAGTAAAACGGCAGGTATATAGATAGTTGTTAAAACTGTAGGTACCTATTTGAAACATAAATATTTAGTAGTACATAGTAAAAATCCTTGTGAAAGAGTTCATCCAGGAAAGTACTGCCGCCTAGTCGTAATGTGAGTATTACTGTGATGTGAGCCGTAATGTAAACGTTCTGGTTTTGAAGGTTAAGGGTCCTAGTGAAATTACAGGCATATGGGACATGTCAACTTATGCCTAAGGGTGACATCCGCAGTGGCAGTGCCCCTCAGATTTTTGAGGTTTAAAGCTCTGAGTGGTACTGCAAATGTCGCTTACCGCCAGTCCCACGACTTGTTCCTCCCGTCATACAAAATGGTATCATACAAAAACAATAATATAAACATTACTGCGTTCCGGTTTTGAACAGTAAAGGTGCTGGTTAAATTACAGGCAGATGGGACTTGTCAACCAGGCTTAAGGGCACATTGGCTGTGCCCCTCAAAACTTTGCTATTTAACGTGCACAGTGGCACTGCAACTGTTATGGACAGGTACGTCATTTACCACCAGATACGCGTCTTGTTCATTCCGTCACTTGGTATCATAAAAAAGTAAATATAAACACTATTAGTAAATATTACAATTATTTAACAGACAGTGAATCCTAGAACATTATCAAGATGGAGTTAATTTGTCTGTTTTGGCTTAGAACAGGACAGGCATCCAAAAAATAAAGATTTACCGGGGGAAACCCCGAAGGATTTATTGTAGTGGACCTATTCTAAATCACTCGAAGGTTCCGATTTGGATAAATACACAACAATTTTTTACCACTTTATATAGTTTAAATATAAAACGTATTCAAATGCCCTTGACCATAAAAACAACATGTTATACAGTACTATCCTAAAAACTATTTAAAAAAACAAGAATCACCGAATTAGAACAGCTTATATTCGGTAGGACAACGTGACGGTCTCGGTCCTTAGAATATATTAAAAGTATATACATAATAAAATAAATATATAAATATATATATAAATAAATATATTAATCTGATTATTTTAAGAAATGACAGTTTTGGGAGTCAACACACGGTATGTCAGCTTGAACTTTACGTCCAATGCAATAATATCCAAAATGACTTTTTCGCTTCCGTTCGGACCGCCCCGTCACGAAAGGCACAACATTTTTTTCGCTCTTATTACATGGACACAAATGTCTTTCTGACCGTCTTATTACGATTCCGTATCAAATACAGCGACCCTCTTTATCGTAAATGAATAAGATGTACGATATTACAGAGCTTTTAAAATCGAAAATTCGCTACTAATCGCCGTTGGTCTACAACGAAAAAGTGTTTAATAAGTTTATTACTAGAACCAGTTTGATACTAGGCACAGCTTATGATGTGAACTGCAAGTTTGGATACCACTTTCCACTTAACATCGGGTGGAGTGAAGTCATTTGCCTGTCATGTATAAAAAAAACCGAATATACATTTCCCTGCAAAGGCTGGTTAGTAAAGCCAGGAGCACGACGGTATTTGATTACGCAATTTGAAACTGTGTTATGGGTTGCTTAATTTCAACCTTCATGAATAAACATGGTTTCTAGATTGCAGGAGGATTATATTTGTTAGTTTTAAATGACTCAAAATGTGACTTAAGAATTGTAATTTGTATATAGGGTGTAACGAAAAGGGTTAAACCATACTGCAGCTTATTATCGTACCTCCTAGACATTTCCAATGATCAAGACATCACAAATATACTATAAAGTGTAGATACGTATTAAGTACATGCGAGATCTTTAACTACCTATCTCTCTTCAGCTAGCTGTTATTTTATGATGAACCACTTGAACCAGTAATCAAAGAACTGAGTACGTAAGAACACTGCATTTCAGTGCCTTAAAAATACGCTACTTAAGTCGAAAAATTATTTAATATCCAAGCGTCAATTTCTACAAAATGTGTAAAATAATATCTGTGTTATTTTTGTTGTTATTTGGCCAAGGTAAGAATGTATTTAGTGTTAATTATTCTTCCCTTTCATTTTGTATAAGGCATGTATAATGCGATGTGGCGATAATAAACCTTGAACTCTCTGTGAGAAATTCCTTCTTAGGTTTTTACGAAGACCTAAAACAATGTAAAAATTATCTGTAGAGTTCGTATTCAGTTTTGTTTACGTTGTGACAACGATTTTTGGTGGCTCATGATTATTATTATATTATTATTATGTTTTTCCGTTGATAAACCAAATAATAATCTTAATAGTGTTGTTATACATTATTGAATAGTCTTAAAGTTTAAGTAGGTTAGATTTAAACACTTTCGTAGTTCTTTGTCAACAAGTCGTGCGCCTGGTGGTAAGCAACACGCCTATTCATAACATTTGCAGTGCCAATTCAAAACCGGAACACAGTAATGCTTACATTACTACTTGGCTGTAGAAATAGGTAGGGTGGCAGTAGTTCCCTGGACAAGTTACCTTTTCACAAGGAGCTTTACTGCTTTAACTACTACCACGCAGCAAGTGTACAGTGTGGTACAGCAGCAAAAGTGTACCTAGGAGATAAACTTGTAGCCTAATCTTAGAGAAATGAGAATGCAGAAGACTCGGTCCACAAGATTGACTGTAGATGATAAAAGAGGAAAAGGAAGGCTGTAAGAAATAAATAATATAATGTTGTGAAAAAGTTACAATTACTATAAAAGTAAATAACACAATACATAATAATATATAATAAAAATAAAAATATTAATAAAAAGAAAAATTAAAACAAAAATAAAAATGAGAATGAGAATTAGAATGAGAATGAAAAATTAAAATTAAAATTGAAAATTAAAGTTGACGTTGAAGTTAAAATTGAAGTTGAAGTTGAAGTTGAAGTTGAAGTTGAAATTGAAACTGAAACTGAACCTGAACCCGAAACCTAAAACTAAAACAAACTAAAATTAAAACTAAAACTAAAACTAAAACTAAAACTAAAACTAAAACTAAAA